ACCATTGGCGAAAACAGAATTAAAAAAGTTTGAGCGCTCGAAAGTTAGAGCACGGATGGACGGAGAGACGAACAAAAAGAATGACGAACGTAACGAGCTTATAAAGGGGTTCCACACCTTAAACACTAAACATTCAATTGGAAGAAATTGATTTTGGACCTAAACATGAGAATCTTCCCACTTCACCCAAACTGCGTCCAAAAAATAATTATGTGCATTATCCAAGACCAGATATTATAAGCTAATAGAAGAACCACATATTTTCTGAGATTTCCAAACCAGTTGACAAAAACTCAACATGCAACTTGTGCATGTCGTAAGTTAATAGTTGCTGCAGAGTTTGCAGTTACAAATCGGGTTTGTTAGCGAAGGGAGTTTGTCTTCTCTGAAACCTAAATTTTATTTAGAGGCTGACTACTTTGTGCCAAGGATATGCAGAGGGTTTTAAATTCCTGCAATTATTGATAGAGTGGTAATTATTTGTTTACTTCAGTGCCAATGTTTAGTGTCCGCTGTTTACGTTCTATGAATCAATGACAAGCTGTGTTACTCAATTTAAATATCTGTAGTACCAGCCGGAGTAAATTAATTGCATTTGGAAGTGGCCAATTCCCAGCATATTACGAAAAACGGAACAATTTAGACTATTGGCCAGTTCGTCAGGTTATCTGTTATAACTAATATCATATAAATTTTGAAGATTTCCAGTGGCATCAGTTTTAGACGAAATTTAAAAAACCAAGACTTTTCATTAGACCATTCGGCGAAATATATATTTCCATATTTTTGAAATTCTACCCAACCCACCCGTTATCAAGGTGGTTGACTGTGAATGTCAAGCAAAATATTTTTCTATACTGGGTTTCAATATTAACCTCAACTCATAATTCCATCCATAAATTCGAAATTTCCGTGACTTTAACACCAAGACCATAAGCGACCCACCCTCATGATTTACAGTGGGTAGCTTCTTAGCAATTTTGTTAGCTTCTGTGCTTCCCCCCTTTGCTCCCATACATTGGCAAATTATAGAATCTCAACAAAATCCCCGCTTCGAGAAAACCATAGGTATTATTAGTTGCTTCTGAAAACCATATTCTTCCAACGGCGTTGTCCTTGCCGATTCCTTGTGGATACTTCAAAAGGGATTGGCCTTCATCACTTGTTGTCTGCCTCCCTATGTTTGAAGGGGATTCGTTCCTCTTCCTTTCCCGTTTGGAACATATCATTTTCTATTGAATTTGTGGATGATCTGGGAGACCGTTGTCTTCGAAATTTTATATACTGGATGTTTTTCTTTCCGCCATTGACCGATTTTACTCACATCTCCAACTCAGAGCATTCGAATCACGAATGGAGGTAAGAACGCACACCAATTTCCTACCATAATTATCTATAAAACTTGAAACTTAAAAATTTTACGAAAACGCTTAATCCATCGTTTGATGCACATCAGGAAGTACATCAGGAATGCCTTTACTTCAAAGAAAATCTAAATTCGTATAATGGTGGTCGGTTAGATATGCTGGATTAAGTTTAACGGATTTTATTAGGTTTCATGATATTTATTACACAAGGTTGTTTATCAATTCAGTTATGTTATATTAAATTTAGAGTATATTGGATTTTCTACTAAAATTGCCAAACATTGAGTGCTATTCATAACTTCCTAAAACTCCGCCAAAACTGCAAAAGTTGTGGAGACTTGAAATTGGTGGAAAATCCTGCTTTGAAAGTTTGGCGTCATGCCACGGCGCCAAATATGAGTTTTACACGGAAATATGAATGGATCCTTAATCATTAACCCTAGTGTATTCGAAAAGTATACTGGGTTCCCAAGAGGCGAGAAACAGTCGGGGACCATTCCTTGTTGGATTAAATTCTGCCATTTACACGCACTACAACTTGAAGTACCTTGTAGTCCACAAAATAAACTAAACGGTGAGAAAATGCGTTGTTGTCAAATTAAATTCAAACCCATCCCACTCTTCTATGATTCCAAAAAATAAAAAAATAAGCGACTCTTATTATTCTGGAATTTCAAGATATTTTTCGAAAATCTTTGTGATATTCGTCCGAATTTTGAACACATTTCCAATTTAACAAAAATCGAAAAGTCAAAAAACTTGTAAATATTTTACTGTAAATATTTTAGTTATGCCCAGCAATTAAAAATGTTACCTTAAAACGATTTTGACAAACATGGTTTACAAAAAAAAAATTTCATTAATTTTTAATTTTTGTCAAAAATTGTCCAGAATATAGTAGTTAATCATTGACACTTTACCGTTTAAATTATCAAAAAATTGTAGGCTATGAAAAACTTCAAAATTGTCAGAAGTGTAAAAGTTTTTAAAAAATTCAGAAAGTTAAACAAAAGTATTCGCAATACTAAATTGTTAAATATTTTTGGTTTGTGTCGAAGTTTTGTATCACCTGCTTCATTTCTAAAATCATAATTCAAATTATACGTTTGTAAATCTTAAATGCAATTTTTAAAATTAAAAAAATTAAAACTAAAAAGATTTTGAAAGTGTACATTTGTCAAACATTTAAATTTTTTAAAACTTCCGAACTTGCTACGAAAATTTTTGAAAAACTTACAGTTTCTGAAAATCCAGAATTATTTGTTTAGTGTTTAAGTTCCAAATTATATATAAAACTTTCGCATTTTGAAAAATATTGAAAATCACTTCATTCAAAACGTTTTTTGAGGTAACTTATTCAAATTCTGGGAATAGCTAAAATACAGTAAAATATTCTTTAAAATATTAACATTTTGATATTTGTTAAATTTGAAATGTATCCAAAATTCGGTTGACTGTAGAACCTATTTTGGAAAAATAAGTTGAAAATTCCGGGACCGAAAAAGAAAAGTCACCAATTTTTTATTTCACGAAATGAGGAAAGCGAGTGGGTTATATCCCAACGCAATTTTTGCACTGAAAAGAGAGCGTTTTGGCGACCTTGTGGCCCCCATAACTAGCTGAATTTTGAGTATCTGCCAAGTTCTGTACCAAACGTTGTTTGTGCATATTTTGTATGTCAAACTGCAGTGGTCGTAAAAATATTTGGACTGAACATGGTTTGCGCATTCATCGTAAGTCCAAATAAACAAACAACTTAGTCACTCATTACCCTGTGGTAACAGACAGTCCACAAACGTTATCTCCCCAAAGAAGCGTGCAATTCAAGTCACGCATTCACATTATACAAATTAGTATTTGTAGAATTATTTATAACTTTAAAATTCATTCCAACATGGGTTTCAAAAAATATTCGTACTGAAAATATATTTCCCGAAAAATTCACAATACGACAGAACGTCCATTATATCAAGTGTAAACCGGGCGACCTGGCCCGGGCCCATCAGGGCCCCGGGCCTGGTGCCATTGGAACGCTACTGCCCTTCTTATTCAAACGCACATATGGAATGGCAAAGATGATGGTATCTCTAATAGATGAGACAAGCTAAGGTTATTTATTCAGTATAGGACGGGGGATGAAGTGATTGGATTGGCTGAGGGCTTGACGTCACTAGGAGGCCTCGCGTAAACGATGTGGTCAGAAAAATTTAGGTTCCAAAATTTGTAATATGTTGTATGTTCATCTCCATGTCGAAAGGTGACATCAGGGGGATTCAGAAAATATATACTTTGTTGGGTCTAGGACCACCCCTTCCGGTGTTAGAGACGGATCAATGCTGCGAGTATAAAATATTTAGGAAAATCAGCAATTTTTTGTGCCCACGTCCATTGCGTCAGGTACCTATTGGCGGGTTGAACTATAGTTCAAATTCAGCCCCAACCAATTAGCGCATTCCAAACCCAATTTTGAGTGGCTGAATTTTTAACATAATCTTATCTCATCTATTAGAGATACCATCATCTTTGATGGAATGGGAAATATCATTTATCATCACATCCCCCTTGATGCCGAGGGGGTGTCAAGTAATTTCACGAATTGTTTACCACGCACTATTTCGAATTCCGCCGAAGAAATTCAAAAATTCAACAAAACCATATCTCATCTTCGGACATTTGACCTTGATACTGGGCGGGATCGAATTTCAAAAACCTGGAAAAATATTTCACCCAGCTCCATTGACATCAAAACAGTCGGGGGTTTGCCATTTCATAAAAAACTGGCCCCAATGAAAATTTTCGATGTTATATGTGTGTGCTATTATATGTGGGCGAGGTCGGCCAACTTATTATTTTTGACATTGGCAGATCGTCCACTTATTAGTTTTGCCTAAACCATAATACTTTACTCCTACCACTGGGGTACATACGTATTTACATATGAGCACTTGTTATATTTATATAGTCATCACTTGGAAATAAACTGGTAACAATTTTATTTCCAGCGAAGAGATATCTCATACAGAAATTTCTGATGGCGTAATAATTAAATAGGAAAAAATACTTACCGTTCTCAATCAAGAAGTGAATCACATTACGTTTCTTGGAATCTAGAGAGTTGACCGCTTCAGGGTGTTTTTTTAGGATATCTTGCACTTTATACTTGAACTTGTCTCCTTCGAACAATTTTTTATCGTGTAAAGGCAAAAACTGCCGTAAGGGAGGTGAACTTGGGGCAGGTGTTGATTGGGTGTTTATCTGTATTAATGGTACCAATTCTTGGGGGGATGACCTCGGAGAGGACAAATTTACCGGGGAAGACATTTAGAAATATGTACTCAATATTTAAATTTCTTAAAATAAGTACAGGTGAACTAAAGCTGCTCAACGAACGGGGAGGTGATTGCTCCGTACATAAGGATAGGTGGTGGAATGGGAGTATGGACGTGGGCATAAATGTATATACAGGTTAACTAAAATATTAACACGATGTTATATGTACAAGCGACGCCACCATGTCGGCAAATACCAGTGGCAACTCACCGTTAAATTTAATGCTGACGTTTAAAGGTGATTGAATGCCTCGTGAAAGAAGATAAGCCCGATGATGTGGAAATATGTACATATAACAGGTAATTTAAGCCTCCAATTTATGATCAACTTTATTCATTCCATCTGGGAAATCATAATGCATAATAATTAATGTGAAAGTGAAACATTACAATTGTGAAATTGTAAAACGTTGCGTAAATTGATCAAGCCTGTTGGTTTGAATCCAAGATAAACCGGTCCTTGATATTTTCTGTCGGATATGACACATAGATTAGCAATTATTGATATTATGTACATTCTTAGCAAACTGGTAATAAATCATTACCGAGGGATATATATATACATAACTATATTTGTAACTCTATCCAGGTCGGTGGTAACTATTTTGTACTACCACTGTGTAATGGAGTGCTAATTAAAAAATTATTAATGAGCAAAGTTTTACTACGAAATCAGTAACAATTTATTACCAAACCATGACTTCATACATGTGTGACTCTACTTTACCATTTTTAATGGTGTATGTACCTGCTGTAAGTCTGAAGCCTTCCTTGTCCAAGAGGTGTGTAAGATCATTCAACGTCCTTCTATATGATAACCATTCTTCGAGAAGTTGTTCGATGACTCTGTGATACGATATAACTCCCATGTCGAGGTGTCTCCGCCACAAGAGTTTCTGAGAATTGTTAACGTTGAATGGGACACAGAGTTGTTCCCAATTTTTGATGAGGTACATGTCCTCTACAATTATGTTGGCTAACTTCTTAGCGTCAGAGTGTTGGAGATATAGTTCTCTAACGGTAAAGTCGGTAGAGTCAGCCATCGCGTGTTTGGTTGGTGGATGGAGATGCAAATATAAGTGAGGCATGAATGATAAGTTTTCGCTTTTATCAAGCCCTGGTTTTTTGAAGGTGGAATTAACATGAGATAACCAAGCAATAGATGCGTAAATGATGCAGGTGTAAAATCAGTTTAATGTTTGCACGGGTTGAAAAGTGGGGTAGTAAAAAGTCTTCGACTTATTTTATTAAATATTGTCAGCAAGCCAGCACTGAGAAGTGCAAGCTTGCAAACATCCTTTGTCTCCAAACGTAATGTGGGAGAGATGATGTCATGCTTCTCTGGGAGAAGGTGTCGGATATGCACAGAGTGTGCAGAAGTTGGAGCAATCTGGGTCTGGAGTTTTATTGCTCATGACGTCACGCTGACCCTTCCTTCATCCGGTTGTCCAGACAGGAGCAACATTGTCGTCATTAGCCAACAAGTGGCATATTTTGGTTATGTAGGTTATGTTAGGTTAGAATAATGTACGGATGTATGCATGTCTGGGGAATGAGATGATTCGGTCTTAAGAGTCCAAAGCGTACGGATTGGCAATCTGGGGATTGCCAGGAAGAAAGGGGAATAAATGCAAGTCTATTCTATCATTTTGCCTCCTTCGTAAAATTATTGCATTTTACACACACACAAATACACACATCTCTGGATGAGAGTCTCACAATATGTACCAGCTAGTAAGCCCGTCTAACGGGTGTCAACAGGTTCAACTTGATGATGTTGAGCTATAGTGGATTAGAATTTGAGTTATTGAGTGGCGCGTATAATATAACATTTATTTCAATGAGGCAACCCAATTATTGGGACTTTACACCTCAAAGTAATTTTTTTACAATATAATAATATAATATTTATTCATATTTCGTATGTCCAGTGTTTGTCATAAAAAACCATGAGTAAGAAAACACTGCAAGAAATTGTTATTTTTTAAGCTTATTTTCTTGCACGAGTGAGAGGAAGGTAACAAATTAGCGTCATCTAGCGAACAATCCTCATAATTAAGTGAGGGACAAAGGGTTAGCCGATAGATGACGGTAATTTTTTGCCTATATTGCAATTTTTTGCAGTGAAAGACATGTTGAAAAGTTGCCAGAAATCAAACACTGTATCGATATGCTACTTCTCAGATTTACAACTGTGCTTGTACAAATCCTGCACACAACCAGTATTGTGATTACTGTAGTTTTACCAAAACCCACAGTAAAATTTTCCCGCCATGTGCACAACAGCTTCCACTTCCATTGCAAACAAATTCAAATTTACTGGGTTGTTTTTCACATCGCCCGTTTTTGGCGATGCAGGCAAGGTTTGACTTGCATTACGACAATTTTCCATCCACGTTCGTTGCAGACAGATATTGTGTTGTATAATATAGTTTTTGTGTGAGTTATTTGGAACGGAAATTTCTGTTTATGCCATTCGGATATTTAGATACATGCATACATACACACACACACATACATATTTCTTTACATACATAGATATGAATGTGTGCACTGAAAGCTTTTAAGTTCGCTGTACGATCCCTGGAATGATGGTTCTTTTCTGCGTTGTATTTCATTTCGCATAACGGCTGATTCAATAAGGTAAATACAATGTACAATAAATGTATGTGATGCGAAAGTGCACATTTACATTGAACGGGACATGGGTGCATTCGTAGACAAGTATACATTCCTACCTATATGTAAATATGTATTGATAAGAAATCAATACTATCTTCATACTGATACACTTCGTATTTTGGCTGGTAAACTGGTCAAGAAATAGTTTTAGGAAATTAAATTTTTCTTAAAATAAAATAATCTATTTTTCATAACTTCGGACTCCCAAAATTCCAACGGAAAACCAATTCCTTAAACGATTTGAAAATGATGAACTTGCAAAATGTGTTTTGCATAAGAATCAAAATGTGTTTGACACCGGCTCAAACAACCCATTGGTAAATTTGCAGTTATAGTTTCAAATTTATAAAGGGGTCATAAATTTATGATCCCTTTATAAATTCGTCATATTTGTCAAGGACCACAGCAAAACTGTATCGATATATACTCCTCATTCATAATCGAAGTCTAAACACAATTAGCACCGAAGGCGTCACAATTGGAACCAGTGAGTATGTACATACTTAAAACCAGAGCCGGCGTGACAAATTTTGGGCCCTGGTGCCGGAAAAATTTGGGGCCCATATATTGTGGAAGACAAAATAATTGCCACTTTTTCTTAGGTGAGGCCATAGTTACGAAAAAACACCTAAGTAAGGATTCAGTAGGGTTTTAAAAAGTGACATAAGGCCATAACTATGACATTTCTCAACCGATTTTGATGTAATAAAAACCCAGTCATTTATGATCAACTAGAATCTGAAAACGAACTATTACACAGGAAGTGCTGTCCGTTGCTGAGATATTCACCAAAAACCCCCCCTGAAATCGATCTCTAGCGTATTTGAAAAAATAGGGACCTAACTAAAAATTCTGTTTGGCAAAAATTTAGGCAAATCTTTTTGGCTATCGAACAAACTTTAGATGATCAAAATCGGATATGAAATGAAAAAGTTTTCTTGGTGGTAATTATGGGTAGTTTGGAAATGCTTGAAGAGTTTTTGGTAAAGGACGCACAGCAACAATCTTGAGACATTTTGTAGTGTAACAAATGTTGTATAGAATAAAAAAAATAGTCAAATTAAATATCTGCGATGTGAACAATTTTTCAAGAAAAATGTCATCTTTAGACACTACACCTTTTAGAATCATAATTGACGCGGTGAAGTCACCCAACGTAAAAAGTAGAAATATTCTTCAAATATCGTCGGTGCATGGATCTGTCCCGGATTCTCTCAATTTACCAAACACTAGAGGGAACAGGATCAAATGTCGAAATATTCTCGAATTTTGGGAAACGGTAATAGATACATCTTTATTTGTATGTGCGATGTATATATGTATGTATGTGCGATGTATAAGTATGAATGTACGATGTATATATGTATGTATGTATGAATTAATTAATTAATTAATGACATATATAAACGCATGTATTAATGCTAGTACATGTGCATTTGTAAATATAATTTGTCCATAGTCCTAATTGCCATTTTCAATCAGTATTATTCTGATATTATAGGAAGATATTGAAAATCTTACCTTTGGATCTCAACCAGAAATTTTTACAAACATTTCGTTGCATGAAATTTTGGATGTGCTTAAAACACTCGAAAATGATAAGGCGACTGTTTGATGTACGTATTTTCGACAAATAATTTTGAGTTTGACCCTTGACGAGTTTGTTACAGAGTGCCGTTCTTTAGAATTACAAGGATAAGCATATACTCCCAGCGAAAGAGTACGACGAAATACAGAAACTCGCAAGTCAAAGCCAAGATTTGGTAATGAAACATGTGGAAAAATTAATAAATGATCGCCAAGAAGAAATGGCAAAATCTCGCGAGGAGGAATTCGAGAAAATGAAATTGGATCGCAAGAATGGGCTCGAAAATGCGGCTGACCTTACAACGTACCCCGATAAAAAAGAAATTGACAAGTTTAAGAGAAACTTAAAAAACTTCAAAGCCAAGGACAAGCTGACGTTGACTGGTAGAACCGTGAAAACGCTTGCATTTATGGATGTCCCTCCCGGGGGTTCGCTTAAGAGTGTGTTCGAAAATTCCAAGGTAACAACTAATATGAGATGTTCCACAGATAGTTGGTAGGGTAGATATTTCATAGTTATTAATTATGTGGGTAGCTTAAGAACGCATGATCAGATCTATTCCTGTTAAAAACGAAAATTTCATTTCAGTGTAAGTCATTCTGATCTGTGAATGGCAATTTTCATTCACTTTCAATAAGATTCAATCATTTTCACTTTCATTTCACTTCAATCCGTGTCATTTGCTCCTTGCCCCATGTATTAAGCACAGGGTGAAAAAAATGAAAGGAATGATAATTTTCATTCATTGTCATGGCTCTGAATTGAGAGAGTTTCAATCATTTTCACTCCCATGAAAGCAATTTCACTCTCATTCAGTATTTCGTTACACGAATGTACATATGTATGCAAGTAGTACGTTACATAAGTAACGGAACGCAAGTTAGCATTCTCGAGTAAGAGAATGCAACTTTGCTGCATTTGGGTATGGGAGAAGTTGGTGGAGAAGGTAGCAAGAGACCCAGTCCAGCTTCTCGCTTGCTCACATACAAATCATAGCATGCAGAGCATATTTAGGACGGAGCAATAAACCGTAGTTTCCATTTACACTGCTCCATAGTATGCAATGTGTGGTTGTATGCATAAGAGTAAATGATGTGTGTATGCACTTGTGTATTTGTAAATATGAATGATTGTATGTGCGTAAGTTAAGAATGAATGTTGTAAATAAGTATGAATGCGATGGTTGTATGCAGGTCTGAATGTGTGTGTATTATGTATGTAACTCACATTTCTTTGAATTGTGAGATTTTTTCCTTGTATGGAAAATGCATTGTTACAGTGCAAATAACCACGGGTCTGTGGCGTCCGACCGTCAACCATAAAGCTGACCACGGTCCACACCGCCACCACCACCGAGTCACACTAATAATACAGCACGCCAGTCTGTATTTTATTACATTGCAGTTCTCATTTTGCCTCACTTGCGAGGATGAGACTATAATAATTAAACTTGTATCAATTTCCCATCAGTAATTATTATAAAGTGTCCTTCACACTAAAAGATAGTGTAGCAAGACAAACCAAGTGTACATAAATAAATCTTATTATTATTTATTATTAACAAATTGTGTCCAGTCTGCAATAATTCCACATAAAGCCCACACACCTAATAATACCCTTTCACATAACATTCACTAGTTTATCACGAATATCAACATTCAGTATCATTCACTCCCTCTCACAATCACTATTTTGACTGAAAGTGAAAAGGTATAATCAGATCTGAGAAAAACTTGGTATACAAAATTTCAAAGGTGGTAGCAACACATGTTCTAAATTTCGAGTTATAATT